CCTGAATCGGAAGGTCCACAAAGAATGAGTCCCCTCTTTTTATGGTTTAGATTGAAGATGAAGTTACAAAGTAATTGCTTTAGCCTATTGACGGAGATTTGATTTTGTAGTGCTATGTTTGATAAGAAGAACATTAGCGCACCTAAACGAGATTTGTTATTTGAAACAACTATTCTGGGTGTCAGTACGTCAACGTTACGTTGTTTTAGGTATATTTGTCGAAATATAGTTTTTTTATTATTTCCAAGTCCTTTAGTTGTATTGTAAATTCCAGTTTTTGTAATTCGTCACTCTTTGACAGTTCGTCGTCATATTGTCTTGAATTCATTATGTTGTGGTTGAATAAATAGTCAGCAAAGTTTTGTTTTAGTTGTGCCTTTAGTGGTTGTCTTTGCGTTATTGTTGTTTCTTCTTGTATATTGTCTACGTCAAATGTAATATGTGCTTTCACGTAGCTAATCACGCTTAAGCACGTAGATAATACTATTCTTGTAGTAAGGAGGGGTATTAACGTGCTTAACCGTAATTCGCGCGTTACACGTCGTGTAGTAGTGTCCGTACCGTTTTCTGTTGATGTCAGCACATCCTTTACAGACGTATTGTCGGGCTCTGAAGAATGCTCTTCTAATTCGGAGTTGTTCTCCTTCTGGTGATCGTTCTGCCCGTTCCAGAATATAGGAGGCGAGGATACAGTGTGTGTGAATATATATATATATATATATATACATATATATATATATATATATATATATATATTATATATATATATATATATATATATATATATATATATATATATATATATATATATATATATATATATATCAAGCCTTCCCAAGGTTCGCGTGCGGTCGAACACCTTGTACTTCCATGCTTAAACTTACTGACAACGGCAGTTTGCATCTTTTAACTTATAAAGTGTTTCAATAATTCGCTGCAAAAAGCAAACCTTATCTATTTAGAAAAAAAGTCCTTAAAAAAGGAAACAAAATTGTAACCAAATATCAATTTTAAATAAATAAACTACAAATCTTAATAATTAAAAAAAGAAACAAAAAAAAAAAGTTTTTATAAAATTTTCATAACTTTATTATTTTTTAGAGTCGTTGAAAAAAATATTATCTTTAATAACGATATACCAACAATTGAATGTTTCGATATGCAACTTATTCACGATTTTGATTAGTTCATATAATTTAGGAACTAATTTGCTATGTACGCTGGAACTATAAGAAATTTCCCAATTTTCAATGTTAATACGTTATAATGCTAATTTTTTACAATACGTTACAATGTTAATTTTTTCATTATAAGAAATTTCCCAATTTTCAATGTTAATACGAACCACTAGAGATAATGAATAAAGCAATTGCTCTATTTTAAAAAATGTATTTAAAAACTTCAAAAAAAAGTTTTAAATACCTAGTGGACACGGCAACGTCCATATGACGACGAAAAGACGTCTTTTTAGGACGTCCAGAACAATGCCTGCCAACTCCTGATAATCAAGATGTTGCTTTAAAGACATTTCATCAAAAACAAGACTACAGTTTCGTTCCAATTTTTTTTATGGTATTTACTCCCATTTTTAGTAAACACATAACCTTATTGGTTAAACTAGATTCGAGGGTCCCAAATGATTTTTCAAGAAACATTAAAATAGTGCTTCTAGAAGGTAACGAAAAGACTTTTCTAAACATTTTGAAAGCTTGTGGACTGCGATACATGATTCTTAAAGCTAAAATTTTATCTTCAATAGTCCAACGTTATCCCTGTTTGATAAGATTATTCAAACGCCAAATGACGTTTTTAAATGACCTAATTTAGCCGTCCTTATTTCGTCGTCTATAATACGTGTCTTTACATAGCTTTACTTAAACGTAAGGTTAAAACTAATGCTTTCACATAATTTTTGAGAATAAGTAAAAAATAAAAATTTCCGTAAACTTTTTAATATAATTTTGCAAAGTTTTATAAATTATAATTTTTTTAAACTTCTTCATCCACTTGTTAATTTCCAAAAATCGACTGTTCCAACACTTGACGTCGTTCACCTTTTTTTAGATCAGGTGTGGGTTTAGATTATTGCCAACATTATTTTAATGTTCTTTTTTGCTGTAGGAATCAGGTAAACAGTCTTGAACCTAAAAAAAATTGTCAAGATAAGTATGTAAAAATAAAGGAGAAAGGAATAAAGAGAACATTTATAATACACTTTATATACATACATATATATATATATATATATATATATATATATATATATATATATATATATATATATATATATATATATATATATATGTATATATATATATATATATATATATATATATATATATATATATATATATATATATATATATATATATATATATATATATATATATATATATATATAATCTTTAAAAGTCATTTTCTTGTTATACGATAATAATAAAACATGTAAAATTCATTAATATATATAAAATAATATAAACGCGTATAAACTTTTTAAAAAATATATATTTGTTTTTATTTTAATTTTTTTTTTTTTTTTTCGATATTTCGCTGATCTATTGTGATCAGCGTCATAAGGTGTAATAAATAAAAATCGTTACAAAGAAAATTGTTGTAATAAAAACTAACCGTTAAAAAGATAACATTAAAAAGAGCATAACAAAATACAAAATAGCTTTAAATGTTGACGTCATATAATCTAACAAAAAATGGCCCCCAAGTTTTTGTCGTTACGTAGTCACCATCATCCCTATTTAAAACTTTTTCATCACTTCCAAGTTTTTGTCGAACTTTTAGATCTGTTTACTTAGAGTGACTCTCGAATTTTCCGAATATGATACTCTGAAGCGATTGATATGGTTTTGGGATGTAACCAATCAAATGTACCCTGGCATGATTTGGAATGTTCGGTAGCACCTGAACTGGCCCATTTTCCTTTTACTCTATTTTTCTGGTGTTCAATACATCTCGATATAACTTTTTTCTTAGTTTCTCCAATGTATATAGAATTGCATGAACATTTTAGTTGGTAGACGCCTGGGTTTGTATTTGGAGGAAGTTTTGTCTTATTGTTGCATAAAATATTGTTGAAATTTGGAGCGGATGTAAATATAAATCAAAGTTTACACGCAGCCGTTTTTATTGAATTTTACATATTTTATATATATATATATATATATATATATATATATATATATATATATATATATATATATATATATATATATATATATATATATATATATATAATACTCACAAAGACACATATCACCAACATTTTATAACTTATATTTCAAAATTCAAAGAATAACACTAGTATAAGTGATGTGAGGCAATTTAGTGTAAGTTATATTGGGCATAGATAATTCATTAGTGTTTTGATCAATTCGATAATATTGTGTATGTATATTTACAAATCAAAATTTGTTATGTAATTTATGATAGCAATTTACCCTTATAAAAAAAACTAAACATTAAACCATAATAAATAAAATACTACTTTTTTTGCAACATTTTTATTAAAAAGTGATTGATCACATTCAAGTTACTCAGAGGTAAAATCGCATTGTAAAGATAAAAACTATTTTCAACTTTAAACGTTTTTTAAGCAATTAAATGAGCCTATATATTGGGCCGGGTGAATAAAAAAGAGCAATTGCTCTGAGTAAAAGTAAAAGCTCAAAGCAAATGCTCGCCGTAATAGCAATTGCTCAAAAATGTGTGAGTAAAGTTTTTCTAATGCTCGCAAGCAATTGCTTTTGTGTCGGAGTAAGAGCTATATGCCGTTGCAGATATAAGCTTTTTTAACTTTTAATATTTAACAATGGCTTCTTCAAACCAGATTTCAATTGAATCAAGTGAAAATAATATAGCTAGCCAAAGTTTTAACAAATGTAAAGATGAAGTTTTTATAAACATACTCTGCGAATTGCCAATTCTTCTACAAAAAAGCCAAGTTCCAAACGTTAAAATAAAGAAAAACAAAGCATTTTTTAAAATGCAAGGCTAAATATTCCAAGCAACAGAAACAAAAATTGATACAAAAACATTGGCGAAAAAGATTGCCAACATGAAGACAAGGTTAAAAAAAAGTCTGACATCCGTCGAACTGGAAACAAGCCTATAAAACTTTCAGCGAGTGAAGTCAAACTTGCTAATCTTTTAGATACAGAAAAGAATCCTACCTTCACACAAATTGATGGTTAGTAAAGACAACTTTATATATATATATATATATATATATATATATATATATATATATATATATATGTATATATATATATATATATATATATATATATATATATATATATATATATATATATATATATATATATATATATATATATATATATATATATATATATATATATATATATATAAGTAAAATAATTAGTCAACAAAATAAAAAATAAACGAAGTATTTTCTTCTTTTGATTTTACAAAAATTACTCTAATAATAAATTTTAGCACTAGAGGCCTTTCAAATAATCATCAGTAGTGCTGATTTTTTAAAAGGCCTCTTCTTCAAATATATATATATATATATATATATATATATATATATATATATATATATATATATATATATATATATATATATATATATATAAATACATATATTTTATATATATATGTATACGTATATACATATATATATATATATATATATATATATATATATATATATATATATATATATATATATATATATATATATAAATATACATATATATATATGTATACATATATATATATATATATATATATATATATATATATATATATATATATATATATATATATATATATATATATATATATATATATATATAAATATACATATATATATATGTATACATATATATATATATATATATATATATATATATATATATATATATATATATATATATATATATATATATATATATATATATATATATATATATATATATATATATATATATATATATGTAATATGCTTAGAGGCAATATCTGCAGGCATAGATCAAACTCCCACTTCAAGTGTTGCTGAAACAAATTCTGTATTGAGCAACTCATCAAAAAGTCAAACTATATTTTAATTGTCACCATCAGTTGAATTTTCTGGTAATGTTAAAAGTAGTTGCAGTAAGTTACTATTGTGGTTTTTTATTCTTTAATAGAGTATATTTGCAGGACACCTGTTTCCAATATAATTTTATTCTTTTAATATTTTATGTAAAACTATCAATATCTTGGAGATTTTAATCTACCAAAATTGATATTTTTTTCTCAGGGAACACATCTTCTCAAGCATCGAGGTTAATTCCAAAAAGATTAAAACTACCTGGTGAAACTAAATAAACTATAAAATAGACAAATACAGAGCTTTAGCGTGTGGTCATGCTGGAGCAGCTAAAATACTATCGGTTAAAAAGTTTAAAGTTGAAATATACTACTCCCCACCATATAAATGAAGAGGAGATTAACGTTGATGGAAATAAAACATAAAAACGTGAAAATAAATTTTGGTTACTGTTAAATGTACAAAAGTTTTAAGTTTACTTAAATTAATTTTTTTTACCATGCATTACATTTTCAACATTTTAAAATGTTATACATTTTAATAAAAATAAGGATGAATTAATTTAAATTAATTAATGTATCTTTATACATTTCACAGCAACTAAAACCTATTTTAAAATGTCACTTCTTTATGTTTTATTTCCAGTTAGTTTTTATGTTTCATTTTATTTCCTAAATGTCAGTTATAATCTGTTTAAAAATATTTCTAAAATTTATAGCATAATAAAAATGTATTGCCAATTAATGCATATTTTAATAAAATCCTAATAATGAACATTTACTACATAAAAGTATTATCAAATAAGTTGTTAAGTCATAAACATATTATAACTGACATTTGAGAAACTTTTGTTTATTTTACTGCAAATAAAACTTAAAAATGTTGTGTTAGCACATCTTAAAAATTCTTTAAAATAGTTATTTATCTAAGAAAACTTTGAAAGTATATTTTTAATAATATAAACAATACAATAAAATAAAAATTATGTTTGTTGTTTTTAGTTTGAAACAAAAAAAAGACATTGGACTTTTATAATTTTTATATTACAAAGTTGATAACAAAAAAAATGTTAATTACATAATTCTCTCTACATAAGTCTCTTAATTTAATATTGCCAAAGCAAATTTATTTCTGCGCTGCTGACCAAGTAAACGAAGTTGCTGTTCGTTTCCTTTTTCAATTACAGGAACAATTTCTTCGTCATCTTCTTCGACATCTTCATCCTCAAAATCTAAATCGTTTAAAGTTTTTGCAATATTGTGCAGTATAAGGCATGCAGTGATACATGTAGCTATCATCTCTGGCTTAATTCTTACCTGTAGAATTTTTACACCACAGTTACATTACATTAAAGTAGTGGTACAAAAATTACTCACGATTTATTTATTAGGAAAAATATATATATATATATATATATATATATATATATATATATATATATATATATATATATGTATATATATATATATATATATATATATATATATATATATATATATATATATATATATATATATATATGTATATATAATCTTTGGGAATAAAGTTACTTATGCCGTATCTGAGAATTGGAAAGTCTTTTTATTTGACTAAATGCATGTTCTACAATAACTCTGTTTTTAGCATGTTTTTTGTTAAAAATTTTTTCAAGTTCTGTTTGAGCATTTTCAAATGGAGTCATCAAAAATGGGGTTATACCATACCCTGCACCTCCTAGAAGATATCCTCTATTTTCCAAACCTTTTAATAGTGGATATATATTAGAGTTTTGAAATATTCTTGAGTCATGAACAGATCCGGGCCAACTAACATCAACACTGGTGAATATAGCCTTTTTATTTACAGTTGCCTATATATAAAAAATTTATTGAAAAAAAAACTATTGAGAAATATAAGTAAACAAACAAGAATCGATAAACCCTATTCTCCATAGGGTTTATCGATTCTTATTTGTGTGCAATCAATAGCTCCTATTGTACAGGGAAAGCATCTTTCGTTTGCCCATGCCAGTTTCGCTCTTAAAATTTGTTCTTCCGTATGTGGGAAACTATCCACTGAGAAGCCTTAGTCAAAACTTTTTGAAGTGTCAAAGCAACAGTTTTTGAAACAATACTGCGATGAATCCCAGTTTCGTTTGAAATTCCATTTTGCAAGCCAGGGTTTGCTAGATAAAGTAGTGTAACTTCCATTCTTTGTTTGGTTGTTAGTGATCCTCCCCGAGTTTCATCATTTACATCCAAAAAGTGTTTTGTTATCCACGTAACGTTATCATCCGTAAATCGAAATAATTTATGGTATTCGTTTGAAGCTATTATATACAATTTATCAAACGTGATAAATTTGCAAGTACTCTTTAACTACTTTTTAATTGTAAACGCGCACTCCATTCGTCGACATTTTTTATTTAATTATAATACTTAACGTATACAAAAAATACATATATTGAATTAAATACACACAAGCTTAGGAAGACAGCATGAGCAACTTCATTTTTGCCAAAATTATATTCCAAAAAGTAATTGTGTCAAAAACGTGCTAGTATAATTATAACTAAATGCATAACGTAAAAATAAAAACGTAAAAGTTATATATATACACACACACACACACACACATATATATATATATATATATATATATATATATATATATATATATATATATATATATATATATATATATATATATATATATATATATATATACATATATTTATATATTCATATATGTAAAAATAAAAACGTAAAAGTTATATATACACACACACACACACACATATATATATATATATATATATATATATATATATATATATATATATATATATATATATATATATATATATATATATATATATATATATATATATATATATATATATATATATATATATACATATATTTATATATTCATATATGTATATATATATATATATATAAATACATATATTTATATATTCATATATATATATATATATATATATATATATATATATATATATATATATATATATATATATATATATATATATATATATATATATATATATATATATATATATATAGTCAAAAAATAGTAAAATACATTAGTAAAATAATAAAATGTCCAATTATCAAAAAAAAAAAAAAAAAAAAAAACAACTACTATAGGTGCTCGTAAAATTAGAAGCAATTGTTCGCCGTTTTTTTGAGTTGTAGCTTTTTTATTCACGCACTTTTCTCATATGTGAGCAATCGCTAAATCTAAATCGCTAAATAAGCAAAAGCCCATGAGTAAAAGCTTTCGCGGAAAAAAGAGCAATTGCTCTAAATTTTTATTCACGTAAACTTGAGCAATTACTCCAAAAACGCTGAGTAAAAGCAATTGCTCTTTAATAGCTGATAAAAAAAATAGAAAATAAAAAATATGCTATTACATATATATATATATATATATATATATATATATATATATATATATATATATATATATATATATATATATATATATATATATATATATATATATATATATATATATATATATATATATATATATATATATATATATATATATACTAAATATATATGTAACTATACATATAACTTAAAATTTTGTAAACCGCGTCCTTCGAAAGGGAAATCTTAAATGATCTTTTTTTCTTACTGACTAGGTAGCTATTTTGAGTATTATGGAGTATTAAACAAATAAGTTTATAAAGAAAAAAACCTATATAATTAAAATAACTTTTAATATAATCATTACAAGAAATAATAATACAATAATCTTTGTAACTTGAAGATTTCTTTAACTTAAAGATAATCTTTGTAAACTTAAAGACTTTGATTTTTTAATTGACTTTATCAAAGCATAACTTTGATTTACAGACTATCCAATTCGAAGGATCTAAATGAATTAGAAAAGTTATTACTTATAAAAATTCTTCAGGCATATTACATAAGATGAACTATTTATACTATACCATTATATTATACTATAAAATAAGGTTATTTAAGGTTTTAAAGGAGGATTGGGAACCCTGAATATATACGGCAATAATCAAATGACTACATTTAAAACTTTATCAGCAAACATTGTTGAAGAGGATTTGCAGTTGACCTATAAAGACATTCTTAGTAGTTAAAGGGAGTTTAACTCATCATTTACTTAGTAAATTACTAAAGTGGGCAGCCGATAACATTCCAACAACTGAAATAGTGGTTACACGTGTTTTCCACTTTGGGCTGCTGTCACTAATAGTCCATTAAGTATATCATGACCAAAACTACAACCACCTTCAACGCATATGTAGGCCCACTGAATGTTCTCTTTAAATGTTTGCTATATTTTATATTTTTTTAGTAAATGTTAAAACTAAAAACCATGAATAATCAAATATATATCTTTACCAAATAATAGATATAAATATTGATTTTAATTATAATTATTTATTTGGAATTTTTAAGGAACGAAAAATAAAATAGCGAAATTAATTACATTTATCTTCAAAGGATTATTGCTTTTGATTTATCCGAATTGATGTCGAGTTTATAAGTATAGCACCACTCGGTAAATTTATTAAATGCTGACCTAAGTCTTTGTAATTGGATGATTTGTATTTGTATCACTTGTCATTAGAGTTGTATCATCTGCAAATAATATTGATTCAAACAGCGTTAGATAATCGAATAATGTTGATTCAAATAGCGTAGGACATTTATAAAAACCTAACAAAAAATAAGTCCTAAAATTGAACCCTGTGGTATACCGATATTAACTTGTTTTTCATTAGAGTATGTAACTATAACTTTTGTAAATATTTCTCTATTTTGAAAGTAGTTGCTTATTAAGTTCGAAGCATTAGTTGAAAAGCCATTATGCCTAAGTTTCATAATCAAAATTTGTAATCTACTAAGTCAAAAGCTTTTCTGAAATCGATAAATATTATTAATGTAAAGAGTTTTTTGGAGTTGCTTAGTTTTACTTTAGAGGTAAAAACGTGCAACGAAGTTTCGCATGAATAATTGCATCTGAAATCTGTTGATCATCATTGAATAAATCATTTTGTTCAAGGTATGTAGTTATTCTTTTAGCAATTATTCATTCAAACACTTTTGTTATTGGAGAGATTATAGTAATACTGCAATAACTATTAATATCGTAAATACCCCTTTTCTGTTTATAAAGTGGTATAACGCTACCTATTTGAAATTCACTTGAAATACAGCTTGTTTATAAACATTTGTTGAATATAATCGTAAATGGATCACCGATTGAATCATGATTTTATAATAATTTTCGTTGGAATATCTGAACAATCACAGCTACTTTTTTTTTTTAAAGTTTTTTATTGCATCGACAATTTCGTATTTATTAATAGGATAAAATGAAAAATATAATAATTTTTTTTTTAAATTATGAGTTATTTGAAGATTATCGAAGTGGTTGTTAATCATTTTGTATACAATCTATAAATACAATTTGAATCATTTTGTTTACAATCGGAATTAGATTAAAATGTACTAAATAATTTATTAAAAAATTTAAATCTAGTAATGGTTTGATTTCTGTGATGTATTTTGATTTTATTAAGTTAAAATTTAAAAGCAAAATCTATAGTATTTTTTTCATTGAGAAATCAAGAGAGAATAAAGTTAGCAAAGTTGTAAATTGTGATAATGTTGCTATTAAAGACATTTCTAACCGATTTGTTTGTATAAGCTTCAGATTGAATAAACAAATGATCATTTGGTTCAATGGTATCACTTGGTTTAATAAATATGAACTGTTTAAGTTGTGAATTTTCAAGAGTATGGTTATTACTAGTTAAGCTTGTATTGTTATTGCTTAGTTGATTTGGATAATTAAATGACCGTACATAATAAAGTCATTCTTTAATAAAAAATTTTTTCAATTGTTAATCCTTTATGCCGTAGTAGTATTTTTTATTTTCATGATTTGCGTCAATGTCATATCTTAATAATATTGTTGTCAATTGCGTATCTGAGTTTTTCATTAAGATCATTTCTTTTTTTTCTACGAGCACGTTTACATGGAATTTCATTTCGGACGAAACCAAAGTTAAAGTCATAGCGGAATGAAAGTCGTAATCGTTTACACAAGATTTCATTTCGGACGAAACTAAAAATAATTTCATTTCGGGGTGGCCATAGTAATGTGGTCCGTAAAGTTTAACTAAGCGCACATTTCATGCTTTATTTCAAAATGGCACCTTTAAACAATAATATATACATTGCTATATGCGTTGACCAGCTGTCTTATTTCAGCTTTAGGTAATATAGATATGGTTACAACATTGGTGTTGCCTCCTTTAATTAGTTTATATTGTAATCAAATGCAACTGATTTCTCTAATGAATTTAGACCTTCAAAAAATTTCTAAGCGTCACCAAAAAAATATTAAAAGGTTAGTAATAATACTTTTTATTATTCACAATAGTTTATATTAAAAATACATTTGGCTTCAATATAAACTGTTATAAATAAAAAAAGTATTATGGTTGTACACAATCTTAATAAACACAATTGTTACTATTTTTATTGAATTTAAATTTTTTTCATACTAATGCGAATTTTACATTTTATAAATACAATTTTCGATATGCTAATGAATAAAAATTAATTTATAATTATTGTAAACTACATAGGAAATATTATTAAAAATGTTTTTTTTATTAAATTATTTTATTTTTGAATGATATTATTTTAGATTAGTAAATCTAATCTAAAACCCTGGCTATAGTGATACTTGGTGGAGAAATCTGAAAACTGGTATTTTACTCCCTGAAGAATGGATTCTTAATTTATGAATAGATTTTTATATATTTATGAAACTGGTAGACTCTATAAGGCATCATATCTCTACAAGTCCAAGATTTGTAAGAAAAGATATTGCAAACCATTGCAACACGCTTTTCTCCTGAAAAGCGTGTTGCAATGGTTTTGTATTATCTAAAAGATGAAGGCTCATTTAGAATGGAGGCAAATACGTTTGGTGTTTCAAAAGCTACTTTGACTGTGTCACTGCGTCTTGTGTGTTGTGCCATAAACTTAGAACTAGGACCAAAGTTGATTAAATTCCCAAATACAAATGAGAAAATTAATTTTATGACTTACAAATTTGAAAAAAATTTGGTATTTCACTAGTTTTAGGTTGTATTGATGGTACTCACATCCCAATTCAACAACCGCAAGAAAACTGCCATGATTAGTTTTGTTACAAAATGAAATATTCATTAAATTGTCAAGCAGTTTGTGATAAAAAGGGAAGATTTACAGATGGCCAGGAAGTGTCCATGATGCTAGAATATATGCTAACAGTAATTTAAACAAAATGTTCCATTAATGTATCAAGAGCTTGTTCCTGGGTATTCTCCTATTATGGCATTTTTGTTAGGGGATTCTGCATATCCTCTGTTACCAAACCTTCTTTAAGAGTATCCACATTCTGAAAGTGATAAACATGCACTTTTCAATAACATGTTGCGTTCAGCTTGTAACCAAATTAAATGTGCTTTTGGAAGATTAAAAGCTCGTTGGAAAGTTCTTAATCGCTGCATCGATATTGATTTAGAACTTACCACTTCCCTAGTTTATACATGTTTTGTATTCCATAATTTTTGTGAAGATAATGAGGTTGAAATTCATAGTGAATTAATGCAAGCAGAAGTAGTTGCAGGCTGTCAAGTCGTCATTTTTTTTCATTTTTTTCATTTTTTTTGGGTTCTTTTTTTTTTCTTTATTTTTTTTTCATTTTTTTGTAAGTTTTTTTCATTTTTTCATTTTTTCTTGAATTTTTTACACTTCAAAGTTTTAAATACTTAGAATTGCTGTTTTTGATATTTTTAAGTTGTTTTAGACATTTTGTTACTTAGTTTTTTATTTAATTTTCAAAACTATTTTATAATAACAGTTACAATCTTTTATGTTCACATTTTAATTTTAATTATCCATTTGTATTGCTAAATTGGTGTTATTATTTTAAAAAATAAATCATTCTATAGTATAGAACTAGTATAGTTAGTGATTTTTATATTTAGTTTTTAGTATATTGATCAATAGATTATATAGTATAATGGTTAAGTGGAATGATGTGTGGTTGGAAAAGTTTGATAAAAATCTAGTGAAAATCTAATTATGGGCTGAAAAAAGAAACTCTGAATCTGTAAACTATGCAAAAGTGATTTAAAATTCAGTTCAGTTGGTTTCCAAGCACTATATCAGCATTCTTCAAAACCTAAACATAAGTCAGTGTCTGATCTAAGAGTTTCAAAAACTGCTCGTCATTTATATGTAGATTCTAACAAAAACTCGATTGGGGGAGAAAACGTTATACAATTAGAGTTTTCTATAAATGAAAAAATTTCTGCTGCAGAAGCCATGTGGCTTTTTAAAGTGGCAGATAATGATCTTGCCTTAAGACATTGTGACAACACACCAATATTGTTCCAAAGAATGTTTCCAGATAGTAAAATAAGTCAATGTTTTACTATGAGTCGGCAAAATCTTCATATATTTTGCAAGATGGCCTTGGGCCATTGTTGGAAAAGCGTTTATGTAATAGTATCGCGATAAGTCAAGGTGCATTCACTTTAATGTTTGATGAAACAACTACTTCACAACAAAGAAAACAAATGGATCTTTTATGTCGTTTTTGGTCAGAAGACGAAAACCAAGTTGTTACAAAATATTTAACATCGCTGTTCTTTGGCAGAGCAACAGCAGAAGATGTCAAAACAATGCTAGCAGATTTACGTCATAATGAAAGGTTTTATTTACCATGGGATCGTCTTTTTAATATTTCAGCAGATGGTCCTAATATTAACAAAGCCATTTGGAGATTAAATGCTGATCTTCATAGTAATGGTTTTAATGGCTTGTTACCATTTGTAAGTTGCACTTTGCACACAGTGCATAATGCTTTTCGAAAAGCAATTAATGTTGTCGGTGAGGATGCTGAGCAGCTTGCATTTGATTTACATAACTGGTTCAAGGTAATGATTTGTGTAATTTTATACAGTAGAATCCCATTAATTCAGACCCTGGATAAGTTGGATTTGTACTAAGTCGGACAGATTTTCAATTCCCTTTAAGCTTTCTGTACATACAAAAAGCTTAGCTTATTTGGACATTCGCTAAGTCAGACTATTTATCTATTCCCTGTGAGAGTCTAACTTAACGGGATTTTACTGCAGTTAATACTAAAAGAGAATTTTTTATTTTACCTATGAAGTTATTTTTCTTACATTATTATTATTTTTTATTCTAATAGTCTATTATACGACAAGCTAATAAAGTGTAGTGTCTCTATAATTTTTTTCTGTTTTAGAATGCACCCTGTAAAATAAAAGATTTTAAAAAACTATCAGATTGCATTTTTATTGAAGATGAAACATTGTTTCTTCGTTTTGTCAATACTAGATGGCTCACTCTTTCTTCTTCACTTATAAAGGTTCTATTAAGGTGGGAAGACACCAAGAAATATTTTTTGGAATATATTCCAAAACAAAAGGAGTATAAAAAGACACTGACAAACAATAAGCGTAATATTCGAATTCAAAGAAGTCTTAGGGAAACTGAAAATCTATTTAAAGTTATTCTTCTTCTTATTTTTTTTTGAATTATTACATATAATAGAGATTTGATTATTTTAGGAGTTACTTGTGTCCATCAAATTCCTTATTGGTTTAGCTCCCTTGTTTGAGAAATACTTGACAATATTTCAAGATGAAGGACCACTTGTTCATATTTTATTTTATAAAATGAAAAATCTTTTAATATCTTTAATGAAACGTTTCCTTCAACCGACTGCTGTTAATGGAAAGCTTTCTAAAGATTTTTTAAAAATTGATTCTTCTGATTCAACTATCCACCTTGATTTGAATAAAATGGACTTTGGCGAGGAAGCTAAAAACCAGGTAATTTGTGATAGGTACACATTTGATACATTTATCAGTTGCACATTTACTACCTGGTTAATGTGTACTTGGTAATTATGTATAAGTGTACTAGGCAATATAAACTATTTTGTTTATTGTATTATTCATTAGATATTTTATTATTAAAAATTAAGTTTTTTTATTCATTTTCATTGATGCAGATTTTCAATATAAATATGTTTTAGGTGAACAAAATATCATGTGAAAAAAAAAGATTTGTCTTCTTACAGCAAATGAGAGATGGATATATATCTGTTGTAAAACACTTGCAAAAAAAACTTCCACTTGATTTGCAGATATTAAAAGATATAACTTGTTTGGGTGCTCAAATGAGATCAGAACCTTGGACTGTTAATGCAATTGGGCGAATAGCAGTTAGGATGCCACATGTAATTATGGAAAAGGAGGTGAATATTTAAATAAATTTATATTAAATAACTGTAATAATATATATATATATATATATATATATATATAATATATATATATATACATATATATATATATATATATATATATATATATATATATATATATTTATATATATATATATATATAAACATAATTTCTGATTTGTAAATTAAACTAATAATTAAAAATGGTATAAGTATTTATATTGTTAACATAATCTACTATATAATTAAAATAGCAGAGTACATTAACCATATAAATATATTATTTAACATTTTCAAAATTTACTAATTATTATTTTAATTTACAAATCAGAAATTGTTGTTTGTAAATTATTAGTTAACGAACTATTTTAATTTTAATATAATTAAATTTTCCTTTAATTTTAAATGTTAACACTTTCTCCATAACAATTTTATCTTAATTTTTGTACAGGTATCATTTGTGAAAGATGAATGGAAATTATACCAAGCAGCTAATATATCAAAAGACTGGTATATAGATTTTGATACAAAAAAACTAAAAAGAGTAGACCATTATTGGGCTAAAATTTTTGAAAGTAACAATGAATATGGAAAAACAAAGTATGGGTATCTCAGTAAAGTTGTTAAGAGCTGTTTAACAATTCAGAATGGAAATGCCAGTGCTGAGCGAAGTTTATCTGATAACAAAAATACATTAACTCCTGAGAGTAAATCTAAATGATGAAACATTAATGGCTTTGAGAATATCAAAAGAATATGCAAGAAGTTGCAGAGGAGCATATAATGTTGATGCACTCTCCAAAGACTTTGTTCAAGCTGTTCAAAATGCTCATAAAATATATAAAAAAAGAAAAGCTGAAGAAGACGAAGAAAAAAGAAAAAATTATATTCATGAGCAAGAACTAATGAATAAAGAAAAAGAGCAGAAAGAAATGCTTGAAAAAGTTGAAAATCAAAATAAAAATTTAGATTAACAGGAAAAAAGTCTAAAGAATGATGAAAAAAATGCAGATCTTGAGTTTCAGCTTGCTCAGAGAATGCTCGATGAAGCAGCTGAAACTCAGGTTTTTGAAAGCAGGTTTTTATTTAATATTCTTCTTATGTATGTTTATAAATTATACATCCATGCAAAGTATGTGTATAAATTATACATAATATAATTTTGAAAATATTGGTAATTTTTTGTTTCTTTACACTAGAACTATTGTTACAAAGAATCTTTAATGTTGCTATTTTTTTAAATTATTGTTTATACTTGTATAATCTTTTATTTCTTTATGTTAAATTTTTGTGCTTCAAAGTTTAAAAGATTTTGAGTTTTGGTCTGCTTTTTATTAATTTTTTTTTAGTTGTACCAATGCCTTGTGTTTTAGTTGGCTTACTGTTAAAATATGGTGTTAACTTAGTCAAATTTCATGATATGAAATTTACTTTGTTAATCATTAGCTAACAGTAATGGAAAAAATTGAAATCAACACACAAAGGTGATAAATTTGTTATTATTTTTTGTGACACAGTTCTATTGTTTTTTTCTTCATATTAGCAGTATTTTTGTTATGATTATGTCTTTGTGTTATTTTTTTTTGTTTTTTGTTTTGATTATATCTACTTTGAACATGTTGCTCTCGAAAATAGTGTAATGAGGGCGTTATATTATTTTTGCACTTAATCAGTCGCCCTTTTTTTCTATACTCGCACCCCTTAAAAGAGATGGTACAAAATATGCCCCCTCCCCCCTATTTTAATCAAAAAAAAATTATAAAAAGTAAAAAACTCACACGTTTACATATTTACTATATTATTAAAATTGAAATAAGAAATCTATAAAGAGATGTCCTTTTCCAACAACCCCTTTTCCTCCTTTATCTACACTCCCTTCCCTTAATTGCATGACGCACTTTATGTTCCCTACACAAGACATCGCTACCAAATATATGAAAGTGTTACCGCTACCTTCCCTTTATTGGAAGCACAAACCGCTATTTTTGCGATATAGGACGACAAAAAAATATTTTTTATAAATGTGATAAAATATTTACTGTCATATAAGTAAATTACAAGTTTCTCCCAGCACATTTTTGTTTCTACAATTTTGAGCTTAATGAGGCCTTAGTTACTTTTCAGTATTATTTATTTCGGAACATTTGTTTATGTGTTATAATAGTATTGAGAGAATCATTTATGCGTAAATACTATGTTTGCATCAATAACTTTGTTAACTTTAAAAAATTTCAACTTGATTAGGGAACATATACAAACTAATTATGTAGTAAAACTACTGCGCGCATACACATTGTTTATTATTAAAATATTTCATAACATTAAAAACAACAGATCGCAATTTTTTTTTAATTCTACTTTTTTAATTATTTAAACAAAACAAAATCAAGATAATGTTATTATCAATAAGATTACTGACACAGAAAACAGTGTTACAGTGGTTTTGGAAACGATGGTGATGAAAAGCTATTGGACATTGTTGGCAAACTTGCATGAACTAAATTGTAGTTTGGCCACTGCATTTGTTGAATTTGCATAAAAGAATTAGCTAAGATGGAAAGGCTCTCTTTTATATTGTCACCAATGGAGCTTACTGAATTAGGCATCGCTTCAATAGCATTTTGAGTTCGTTTTAAAGATTGTTCTAATGCTTGTATTTATGTTATTTCCTTTCTTGCTAGATCTAATTGCATAATGTCCCGTTGGTATGCAGACAGTTTCTTTTTCATTTTTTTTCGCTTTGTATCTTTGATAACCATATGGTCTATTTTTGATTCACTCGTAAGATTTAAACTGGAATGACCATGGGGTATAGCTCCAACAGAAGGTGAACCACTCCATATTTTTTTTAACTTTTCAAAATGTTCTTGAACCAAACGACCACTTCCAGATCGTGTTCCTTTATCGATGGCTGTTTTGTTACCAGATTTTAACTCATTTATTTTTGATTTAATTCTATTGTAACCTTCCTTTTTTTGTTTTTCTTGATTATCAATTTTTCGTTTTAAGACCAAAAGCTCTTCTGTTGAAATATGATTACTTTCTATTGGTTGTATTTTAAAAGGCCCAAAATCCTCTGGTGGATAGATCTGTCCCATCATTTCTCGAACAAAACTATACATGGCAGGCAAATCATTTTCAAAGTCTAAACCTTCATAATCCATATCAGTTTTATAATTTACTACGTTTTCCAATAAAACTTCTATCATTTCATTACTCCAAGTCCATCTTGGAGATTTCTCTTTATCTATTTTATAGCGACTTTTTAAACAGAAATGTGACTGGCAGATTTAATACTAATAGGATTACTAGTGCAGGTTTTAGCGTTGTTAAAAGTTTGAAAATCAATGTCTTTAAAATTTATTGTAGGATGTGGTTCTTCGCGTAATTTCAGTTTCATCGAACGTAAATAAGGTACCTTGTAGTTAACTTTGTATTACTAATACAACTATTATAAATACTATTATAATATTATATTTCACTACAAAGTTTGTATATAAATTGTTATTTAGTAATTAGAAATTAAATAATATTATATAACAAATGTAGCCAGACATAGAATTGTAATTATAAAGAGCTAATTTACGTGAAAATTTTATTTTTTACATTTTAGTGCAGTATTTAAATTATACTTAGTAATAATAATAATAATAATAATAATAATAATAATAATAATAATAATAATAATAATAATAATAATAATGACTTTAATTACCTTTTTATAAATCTTTTCGGAAAATTGCAACTTAAATCGTCCATTATTTATTTCAACTAGTTTTGCGCGTTAAAGGTGACAGTTTTACATCATAATAAACAATATTTTTCGATTGTTTGAAATTAACCAATACCGCGTTAAAGAAAAACTAATATGTCAATCATGTAATTTTTAAGCATGCGCGTTTCGATTAAAAACTGTTTACATGGTAAAACCATAACCGAAACGAAATTTCATATCGGTCAAAATGAAATTCTCACCGAAATGAAATTTATTTCGTCTATTAAATGTAAACAGATATGCGTGTTTTATTGAAGACCGAAACGAAAATATTTCATTTCTCCCCGACATTAAAAGCTATGTAAACGCGCTCTAAGATTTTTTTGTGAATTCTTTCGTTTTCTATTAAATCTTTATTTATAAAAATTTTTGGCGAGTAATTTTTAAATTTTTTGTTTTTGCTAAAGCAGTGATAACTTTTTCGTTAAGTGAAATTCAACCTTTATCATATTTGTGTTGGTATGTGTTTGGTTGCCAGTGTTTTTCATTAGTAGTGTAATTGTTTTAACTTGGTCTTTGCCAATTTCAAGGCTGTTTAATAATAAAAGGGTTGCTTCTTCATCATTTGTTGTACTTGAATTGACGTGATCAATTCCACTTATTATAATGTTGGTCTCGCGGTTTATTTATTTTTTGTTGTTTTTAGTTACTGCTACGACAATAACTGCTTGAAATTCTTTTTTATGCTGTTCTTATTGCCTGATACCATTTGGCTGTATAACTCATGTACATTAGTAGTATTCATGTTGGCATCTTGGATATGGTTTTTGCCTTTATTTATTTTAAGTTCGTCAATTCTTTTTTTAATTCATCGATAATTTTATCTTTCTCTATAAGAAAATCGACTAGCTGGTCAACTCTTTGAATAACTTTTAATAACCATAGGTCAAGATTTTTTAGACTAAGTTGTTTTTCTTTGGCAATTAGGTTACCATAGCCAATATCAGAAATTGAGCCCATGTTCAGTTTTTTTATAAATTTTTAATAAAAATAAATGTATAGATTATTAATATATATTTATTTTATATGCATTTTATATAAAATTTATACATATATAATTTACAAATATTGGTAATTTGCTTATTGTGCAGAAAATTGTGCAGAAAACAAACAAAAAAAGCTTGGTTATTAATATTTTTATAATAATATATAAATAAAGATATATATAGTCAAATATAAGTATAGGTATATATAAGAATTATATAAAAATAGGTATGCAAAAAACAACAAAAACTCTATTTTAAAGACAAATATATTACAATAATTTTAAGTAGGAAAATAATTAATAAGCTAATAAGATAAAGCAATTAGTAGAGAAAGAAGTAATGGTAAGAAAAAAAAGTAATGGTAAGAAAAAAAAAATAAGTGGAAAAGAAAGATACGGAAAAAAATAAAAATTCCAGAAAACTTACGCTCAAACCAAAACACGTCTTATCGGGTACTCTCGAGTGCCGAATTCAACAGGGGGTGGGAAAAAACGGGTGGGTGGGAATTTTAGTCAAATCTAATAGGCGGGAGGGAGGGGGGTTAATAAAGGAGGGGGGAGATTTTTTCTTGAATTTAATAAACAGGGGGGTTTCATGTTCAAATCCTCCTCATTTAATTCGGCATGCATGTTATGCATGTTCAAGTCAAATGCGCATTTGATATGCGGTTAAAAGCGCATTTTATAACAGCTGTTAGGGTAAGGTTAGGCTGTTTTATCATAATTTTAATAGGATTTAATATGTTGATATAAGTTTTATATTTTGCAAAGTATAAAACTTATATTCAGCATATTAAATCCTATAATTAAAACCAAAGCTTTGTTGAGAAATAAACTAAAAGTTCATTTTTAGCAAATCGAGATTTAATAGGTCGACAATTTGTAAAACCTGTTTACACTGAAAGTTTTTGTTTTTATCGGTGACTGAAAATTATTTTCATGTTTTCAAAGCCGATTTTTA